TTTCAGATTTTGGAAGATGGTAAACTTCCAACATACTTTTTCTATAGCACATGAAAACAGCGTTGAATTCCAAAATACCACTACTGACAATTTTGTCTAATTTTGACGTAATAAATAATACTGAAAAGGTACATCACGAATTGAAGTTATTGATATTTTAAAATTCACTACCACGAGGCAAGATAATTCGTACTTCGATGGCTTGTAAAAATACCTAGATATAGATAATTTCTGTAGATACTGATAGGGTAGTATATTAGTTATAAATATTGCAGTAAAGCACGCACATTTTATTATTACATTATTTTACGTTATTTTTGGAATAAATCGACCATAAAAATGATCGTGCGTGGAGAATGAAATTTTATTAGCGTTCTTAGATTTTCCAGTGGCCTCTCGCATGCTTGCTAAGCAAATATTTAATCGATCTATATACTTCTACTTCTCGGTTTTCAGCTTGTTTAATTCCGGTGGCTTTGATTCTGTCGCCTTTTTAAATATTTTACCGGCACTCTCAAAAGAAATGAATTATAAATGCGTCCGTCTAGTTCTCCCTCAATTTTAAAAGCTTTTGCTCTTTGCTGTTGATTAATTATAAGACGTAACTCGAGACCAATTTGTTGTTTATGCCCATCGGAATCTGTAAAAACATCCTATATGTATACAGGTTTTTTTCGCCGTTCAACGTCGTTAATCAAAGTTAATCGCCCTATTTCCTACCATCGGCCCTTGACACTCGGACTGGAAATTGTTTTCGTCGCATTGATTGGATTTAAATAGGAGATCACCCGATCACGCCGTATATCTATATATATATTTAACGATCGTAATTCGCAAAGTTGCTGAAAAATCTTAAAATAGACTAAAATCTTTCCATAAAATTCGAGCGCTTTAATTCTTCAGAAGTAACACGTCAACGACGAGAAGCTCTCAACTTTCTCGAACTCTTTCAGTCGCTACTCGTTTTCGTCATCTTCATAATTCACGTTGAAAAAACGTTCTTCAAAAGGATTTCGGTGCTCTTGCGGGCGGGACGGGTGATTTTACAGTACTCACTATCTGCGGAAGCCGCTTTGCAAATTTAAACAATAAAAATTTACAAAAAGCAAGCGGCACGTTTGTATTAATTTAAAAGACAAATTTTTTATGGAAAGCGGATTAAATATTTCTAATGTCCGTTTTATAAAATAAAAGTTAGTTTGTATAAAAATTTGACCGTTAGAAGAAAAATATATACCAGACAAGCAATTAAGGTGAGAAGGTGTGGTTCCAGATTCTCGGAGTTTTATATATGTGAAATGATGGTGAGAGATTCATTCATTTATTGAAATAGAAACTAATAACAACCTCCAATTCTTAGATATTCTTATCAATAAAAAATCAGACCTAACATTAGGTGATTGATACCTGAATGTATTGTCACATGACCATCCGGCCCAAAAATCATCGGTTATCAACTCTCTTGTTTACAGAGCCGTGAAACTATCTCAGCCCGAGTCATTGAACCAAGAATTAAAACACCTTACCTCTGCTCTCCTCTCTAATAATTTCCACATTAAAGATATTAAGCGTTCCATCACTACACACTATACACTTCACCGCAATAGCAATGAAACCGAAAGCAATCCTACACTTGCCACTGTTGTCCTTCCTTATATTCAAAACCTCACTGACCACATATTAAAAGTTCTAAAGAAATAAACGTCAAAACCAGATTTAGCACTTGTCCAAAAATCTCTCGATATCTTCGATCCGTCAATGACAAAATTCCATTTGAGATGCCAGCAGTTTACAGCATTGCATGCATATGCGGCAAAGAACACATTTGAGAGACCGGACGAAAAATATCAACTAGACTCAAAGAACACGGAAGAGCCTTAAGGCTAAGACAAATAAACTCATCAGCTGTTGCCGAAAACAATCGCCAAACCGGACAAAAAATTATATTCGATAAAACTACCAACGAAAATTCCGATAATCTATAGAAATCTATAAGCAACCTAACAATCTTTGCCGGGACCTGCTAGCAATATGGGAATCAATCATCCGAGACGGTGTTTAGGCCCTCAAACAATATAAAAGCAGGTACAGAGTAAAACGCAAATGAAGAAGCCAACAGGATTGGCGATACGTTAGCTAGTTCGAGTCAACAAAAACAATATCTTTATTTCGTTTACACAGCACAACTTTTACATTTAAGAGGTTCGTCATAAAAATAGCATTAAATTTCATCGAAAGGAAATCGTAAAATGAATGTACAATAAGTAAGAGTAAAAAGCAAACCAAACAAATATTCTCCTAAAGTACTTTTTGCAAACTATAGACGCATTCTTTACTTAGAACTTTGTGCTTGAGTAAAATGTTTGCTTAGTTTGTTTTTTGCTTTTAAATGACAATAAAATCATCGTGGAATATGGATGGATATTCTCATTTTTTTAATAGTTATTTTTGTTTATATAAATATAATGGAACAAGTTTAGTTGCGAATACGTACAAGTGGCATAGACTCGCAGCCTGTGAAGATGCCAGATGAAATTCTGATGCAAAAAAAAAGGGACTTTTAATACTTGTAACTGGCCCCGCATACCAGCAACTAACTATAGGCGAATTCTAGCAAATAGTGTGAAGTTAACTGCGATAAATCGGAGCCTGTGTACGGTCAACCACTGGTCGACCCGGTTGGTTTACGTTTGCTTTAAAGCTCAATCAATCGACTTGAAAAATGAGTGAAAACTTAATACGCCACAGGAACCGAAAACCTAAGTGCAATTACAAACAATAGATTTCAACTATTTTAGTATGATTTTATTGATTATTTTTTATCGATTTAGTTCTGATAACATGATAAATAAATGAAAAAACAGTAAAATACCTACAAGTTAATAACCAAAATTATTATTGCAATTAACTACATAATAAGACATTTCAAAAATTTTGTTTAAAATTATGTCCATCTGCTCGAACACAACTATCAAAAACTTTTAACAGATGAGCTTGGGTCACTTTTAGGAGAGTCCTTCTTGTGATGGCGGCACACGCTGCACTAATTTTGTTAATGAGATCAGCCATATCTTCGATAGGTTCTTCATAGATAACGTTTTTTAGGTAGCCCCAAAGAAAATAATCTGGTGGTGTAATGTCCGGGTGAAAAGAGTTTCTATGTAGAATTCTCCACGAAGAACTTATGGTAACAACGGTATTTTCTTTTATCTCTGATAGGGATATCTTGGGGTTATTATCAACCTGCTGAATTACAGCAGCAGTATTTTCATCATTTGTAGCCGTCCTGTTCCTATCTCTTTTAGGTTTTATGAAGCTGCCATATTCTCTTAAGTTTTTACATAAACTTGAAAAGGTTTTTGCATCGGGGACTCCTCTATGCGGATAACGCCGTGCGTAAACTCTTTTTGCTTCTCTACAATTGCATCTGCATTCTCCAAGCACCAGTAACATGTCTACTTTTTCCTCATTGCTAAATTGCACCATTTTCACATAATAATTCTTAGTTTTTTTTAAACCGAACAAATTTGGATATTTCTTGTGACAAAATGTGACAATTTTTTGATACACCAATAACAACATACGTTTGTAATTGCACTTAAAACAACTGCGATAACAATGGTTGCCATAGTAACTAACATTCATAGCATACTTGTAAAAATAAGCGTTAATCACATTTTTTATTTATCAAGAAATGTTTACTTTAAATCGGTATAACTTAGAAACGGGTAAAGTAAATAAGTTTGAGTAAATAACAAAAAAGTTTTTAAATAATATGTACTTTTGTATGCGCGTGTTTCCAGAGTCTCTGCAATCGAATAATTTTTCGACGCGTCGCGACGCCCAGCTCTTTGCAGGCGTCGAAAAACCCTGTATATATATATATATATATATATATATATATATATATATATATATATATATATATATATATATATATATATATACGGGAATAAAACTTCATAAGATTACTAAGGAGTTGGAACATTAGCGGTAAATTATTTAATTACATTTAATTAAATTTAAAGCGACATAATACAGGTTATAAATACGCAATTAAAATTTTAAATCTGTAAATTCTCGTTTTAAATTTGATTTGGGATTCAAACTTCATAAGATTACTAGGGGTTTGAACATTAGCAATATATATATATATATATATATATATATATATATATATATATATATATATATATATATATATATATATATATATATATATATATATATATATATATATATATATATATATATATGTATATATATATATAAATATATATAATTAAATATAAAGCAACATAATTTAATTTACGTGAAGGGATGCGGGAATAAAACTTCATAAGATTACTAAGGAGTTGGAACCTTAGCGGTAAATTATTTAATTAGATTTAATTACATTTAAAGCGACATAATACAGGTTATAAATACGCAATTAAAATTTTAAATCTGTAAATTCTCGTTTTAAATTTGATGCGGGAGTCAAACTTCATAAGATTACTAAGCGGTTTGAAAATTAGCGGTATTTGTATATTTAATATAGTTGAGTATGAAGCAACATAATTTAATTATTGGTAACAGGTCAAGAGTATGCAATTAAAAATTTAAATCTACGAGTTCTCCTTTCAAATCTGATGGTAACGTGAAGGGATGCGGGAATAAAACTTCATAAGCTTACTAATGAGTTTGAATATTAGCGGTAAATTATTTAATTAAATATAAAGCGTCATGATACTTTGGGATTTGAACGTTAGCGGTATATACATTTAATATAATTAAATATAGAGCATGATAATACAGGTCAATTCTCGCTTTAAATTTGATAAATGCGTGAAATGATGTGGGATTCAAACTTCATAATATTTTCATAATATTTAAAATAATAAAGTATAAAGCAACATAATTTAATTATTGTAAACAGGTTAAGAGTATGCAATTAAAAAGTTAAATCTACGAGTTCTCCATTTAAACAAATGTAATTTATAAACAGGCGACCGACTTACCTTTAGTAATCTGATCGTAATTGTTGATGACCTTTTCGGCGTTTTTCCTAGCGATGTAAAACCATTCAGAAGAATTGCTCAGGTACTTATATTCTACCGCCAAGTCTTTAACGTTGATGGGCCCTTCCGGCAATCTGTAGGCGTACGGGCAAAATAGCAAATAGTCTTTATATTCGTGTTTGTCATAGCAATTTCCAGCTGCGAAAATGACGTCATCGAATTCAACCATCGAAGATACCGACGCGTACAACAAATGTTCTGAAGCTACTACTTCAGGTTCGGCGTATTTCCAAATGCGAGTCAGCATATTCGCCTTGTTGACGGCTACGTCCGCTTGAATTCTGAATCGTTCTTGAGCATAACGATCAACCACCCCTTCGCCTAAGCTTAAATTGGTTCCTGCCGTGCAATTATCCCCCAACAAATGTTGAGATTCGACAATTCTGAGGAAATGGGTTACGATGTCAACGTTGCCGTGAGGAATTATGACGCTCTCTTGGAAATTTCTTCTTTTGACTTCTTCCATGTAAGTGTCGGAGACGGTCTTGTTAACGTCCGAAACGTCGCGTTGCCCGTCCGGTTCCGTTTGATTTATCGCCGAACTGTCCAAGACGCCTAGTGAATTATCGTTCATGTATAAGTAGGACGATGTGATCGCGTACGTGTGAGTGGTGGTGAAGTTTACGTCCACATTTTCACCGTGAGCTTTGGTGATGGTCGCGTTGTCACCAAATATTCCCGTCTCCATAAACGCACGCTTGTCTAAATTCAAATTGTCCTTAAACCTGTGCGCCCTGCTGCCGTTACGTCGAAGTCTAATTAATCTCGACCTCTTGTGTCTGATCTCCAACTCTTCGTGAATAAATTCAGCGCATACGTAGTTGACCAACAGAAATATAAAAGCCAGTTTCATGATTGACCTCGTGTCGGCATATGGGTGGCGGTTCATGTTGCAGAAAAGTGAGAAAATTTTAAAAAAATTGTCGGTAGAAAGTTTCGTTCGTATTCGAAGTTTTACAGGCTACGGTGGGGTGCGATCGTTACAGCCTGCCGCCGACGCGTACGCGAGTTTTGCACTGAAAGACGAGGGTGAGTCGCGACAGCGAAAACCCCAAAATACAAGAACGGGGGATGTCCAGCCGCGCAACCTGCAAAGAGATTTTGCGGCGGCGCAAACGCCGGTTTATTTGCTTTTTGTTTTTCCGCTTTTTCATTTTAATTAAATAATTATTAATTATTAATGCCGTCGATATTTTGACTAGTGTAAACAGGGAAATTAGATCCCGCCGGGTAATAACGCTAACATAGAACTAACTACTGTTTTTACGGTAGTGTGTTAAACATTTCGCCCACTTTCTGCTTATAAGCTTCGCAATATACAGATTTTTGTCGACTAACTTTTAAATACAGCTCATTATATTATACCATATTTTATCTGTATCTTGAAACCACTGGAAAATGTAACACTGTAAATTTCCATTCGTTCGTTCTTAAATAGTGTAAAAAGACCCATACGTTTTTATGATTTTAGTTAATATAATTAGATTTGTTTTTAGATTATAGGGAAAACATATGTTCTCAAGACTACGTGGACTTCATTTAGTGACGCTGCTTTAGCTTACTTTTTGCGTAGTGAAGCTGCTTAGCAGAAACTACGCAAAAAGTTCAATCGATGGAAATGGGTGTAAACGCATTGCAACTTTTTTGGTATTATCTAAAAATTCAAAAGCGCAGATTCCAGACTTTTTTTTTTGAATCATCGATTTTCCAAGGAGCAAAAATCTTCAGGAGCTGTTCTTTTTGCGGCGCAACAAGGAAGACAGAGAGACTTGCTAACGCAGAGAGGTCGACCATTTTTTCACTCTGTTGCTTGAAATTATTACCGAAAATGACTTGCTTGGGGGCAAATTTTTAACGTCGACGAGAGAGGCAATCAGAGTAACAATAAACCCGTAAGAATAGTGGCTTCGAAAGGCGTTTATTTTACTCTCAACTTTGCTTACCCCTCCGTACATTCGGAAAGTTCCTAAATTCCTTACTACATTAGTAAAAGATAACAACATGCTTTAGAATTGACATCCATGTAAAAAGGCAAGTTTTTTTACAAAAGATCTTCCAAAGAAATACAAATAAAATGTTTAAAAAGTTTTTTTAACTACCTATAAGGGTTAAAACGCGACATCGCATCGCATTATTTCACTGCTTTACCCTATATGCTATGCTATGTGCTTTCGTCGATCGCGTAGACACAAGGAATTTTATGCGCTCAGTAGCAAAAGGGATTGTTAAAATATATCAATGAGTAGGTTAATCAAGTGGCAATAAATAAAATTATATATAAGAAAACCATGAATAGTTACCGTAAGACATGCAATTTGTAATTTATAATGATAATATGTTATTATCTTCATAGTCAACTGACCAAAAAAAAAAAACGTGTAAGGTTTTAGCCCATTAAATTCCGTAGTCTTATTTCTATTCTTGGAGTAAAAGTAATAATCGAATTACAATGTACCTGTTACAACTTTAATAAAATGAACACATAACAGCGAACAAAAAGATCTGATGACTTCCTATATAATAGGAAAGCCTGAAATGTTAGTGCCCACATCCACAAGTTGTTAAACACAAAATTTGGTTATTCTAAACAGCTGAATTAATTTTCTTTTGGAAAATTGAAAAGGATTCTTGTAGTGCTAATCTCCTCGAGAGCGTCCTCAAAATCGACATTGATCATATTATGCCAGTTAAAGTCCTCGAAAATTATTGCAATTTTTATTAATTTAGTAGTAAAAATATCGTGAAAAATCACAAAAAAAAAACAAGTTTCTAGGTCATTCATGATCAGCAGAATAGATTTCTCTCTGGCGAGTAAAAAATTCCCTGTTTTGATTAGGATTTTTTCAAGAGTATTGCATTTTTTAAATTTTTGGTAAACACGCCCCTAAAATTCCAAGATAATGATCCAAATGAACCTGCCTTAGTTAACATAACCGATTAAGAGTTGCATATCCGGATATTTTGTTTATCACTTTGTATATACTGAAATTCTGAAAAATTAAACTTTGTCAAAGTTTTGAAAAGTATTCCCTTTTTTTGTGAAAAATGCTCTGGAAAAATTATTTTCCTTGCAAAATACGTAATAAACCAGTTGCCGGAACTCATAAATAAACGAAGTGTAATAACTGTTCTTTGGGGAAAATAAGGGAAGTAATTTGCATAAATTTTAATTTTGGGCTCCATATTTTCTGATCGATCTTTCTGTAGTTAATATAACCCATTGACGGTTACTATAGAGCGAAATTTTGTTTTAGAATTCTATTATTGAGTGCGGAATCGAGGTCCGACCTACAGATAAAATAAAAAGTTTGAGAATATCGTTAAATTCTTTTTTATCCCGTGATTCAAAAAGTTTTTTTCTCCTCTGGCGACGTGATTTCTACACGGAAGTTTTGGTGTCAGGTATTATCCCCCCGATTTCTGGCAACGCCAACAAAGTTTTAGGATGTATTGTTAACGCTTGCTCAAGACTTGCTTGAAGGCAAATAATATTGTAACACATTTTGCCGCATTCTACTTTAGACTTGTTTAAACTATAGTTCATTTATTTCAATATTATGAAATTTCAAAGTAGGTTTTGTTAGCTACAGGTCGATTTGGTTTTCCTAGTAAATAAATAAATAGAGACGCTGCTGCCAGAAGCGATCCATTTTGAAAATTGTCATGGTTTTGATTTATCGTACTCTAGTTTAGCAGAGGGAAAGTTTATTCAATTTAAGTACTAAGTTTTACTTAAGGGGTAGACGAAAATAAACCAATCTCGATTCGTTTAGTCTAAAAGGGTCACGTAGTCGTTTAATTCTCTAAAACACCATTTAATCGATGGCTGAAGACAAATTGTAGCGGTAAGGTCCGAGTCTGTAATGTCAAAGTTAATCCGTATTTTAATGGCTCCCGGTCAAGGTACAGACTTTTGCGTAACAAATTGTTTAAAGCAACCCACAGGAGCTCGAGTTTTGAGTACAAAAAGTGCCTTAATCCCGCGTTCTTTTATTTAATATAAAACCTTTCCTGAATCGCAGACTGTACATCCATCTTCATCACAATAGAGTAACGGTGACAGGTTCTTAATTTTATTTACGCAGGGGTTGTCTCTTAATTTCCAAAAACAAAAATCGTCCCTAAAGCTATTGTGGTTCGGTTACATAATTTGTGTTTTTTTTTTGGTTTCTTGTTCATTATTACTTACGGGTACAATGGGTATTTAGTCTACCGTTACTAATATCAGCGCTCGTGGTTTTTCAAATTGTAAGCTTTAGTATACTATCAAACAAAATGAAAAATTAATTTTTCTTGTCGCGCGAAGCCCGGAAAGTTGATCCTGACCTACTTTTTACTTTAAAAAATCGAAAAAAGATTCACTGCAAATTAGTATGCTTTGTTAGCGGTTGGGCAGCCAGTAATGCGACTAGGAGGTACATAATACCAGTTAGAAATTTTATTTTTTGTTTTTGCGCTAAAACATTTTTAGAAACCGCTTTCGCGGGTTAATCGCATTACGGCCATTTGTATTTCTCACTCGGTTAGTTAATTTATTTGACTTTACTTGACTGGCGTACCTCAATAATAATAATAATTTGTTTATTGCGTAAACAACATTATAGAAAAACAAAATAACACATTCGCATTCAAAAAATTAGCAATAGGCTTTTATGAATGATAATTTCCTAGATACTGTTTAAGCCTCAATTTTTGTAGTATAGAATCAGTTAACATATAGTTTCAAATAAAGACGTTAAAAAGAAAACGAGGTTGCAAAAACGTTAATAAAAGTAGGTATTAACCAAAATTACTTTATTTTATTTCATCTGAGATGATCACACCCAGAATTACTGAGACTGTATAAAGAGCCTTTTTGAGCTAATCAAATTGGCAATGACAAATTGGTTAAGGCTTTCGCGGCCCGTTGATGAGCTATTATCTTGATTCGGGTTTAAAGGCCGTCGTCGGTTGGAATTACTTCCTAACGTTTCGCTAGCACGGGTGGCGAGCTTCTTCAGAGGTCCTTCCATCTCCGATGTTGGACGTAGACATCTACGTCTACTACGTTTTTTGAAACACCCAGTAGATACTTTTTTTATTGAAATATTTTCACGTGGCTATAGTCTTTTTCATGGATAGTGGAGACGCGCTTCCACACATGTTCCACCCCACCTGCTGGAATATTCCGTGATCATGGTCAATTACCGAGAGACGAAAACAAGCACATTTGCCCGGAAAATCGGAATATTTGTGTCGTTTTTCCGGTGTAAAGATCCGTATTGTGTGTGACAGCTCGCAGATAAACCTAGTTTTATAATATTTCCATTTTTATTATATTCTCTCTCGCCATTTTTGTTTCCACAGTATTGGTTTGTGTCAACCGTAATAATAGAAAACGCCGGTGAAGTCAGAAGCGGGATTTTCGGTTGTTAGTAAATTATTACTCGCGGATTTAATGTTTTAGAGTTTTATACTCTACACCATAAATCGTGGTAAAGCCGTTTACGAAGCTATTTAGCACGGCAATTTTATTGCGGTTATAATAAATCACTCATATTTGGCGTTCAGCAAGGATACGATGGCGACGCGTAGGGCTTTATTTATCACCAGTAATTTAGTTTTTTTTTGTTTCGGGTGACGATTTTTTCTAATTTTCATTTGTCTCACTGGCCTCCAATTTTAATGCCCGCGCTTGGTTGGTAATTAAAATTTAAATAAAACCTGATTTATCTCCGGTTTCATTTCGTTAGCCCAAATTCTCAGCGAAATGTGGTCGAATTGATCCGGCTGATTAGTTTACTTTTCCTCTCAGAATCCCATCATAATTTAATTTTATTTTCACATAGGTACTTGTTGCTCAGGGAATTATATAAGATGTTTCGATTAGTCTCTCTGATATACCAGTTGGAGTTGGTCAAAATATTTTAAATCGATTCTAAAGGGGGG